CCTCCTGCATCACATGTCCTATCATTTTCTCCCTTGTTCACTCAGCTCCAGCCCCAGGGGTCTCCTGGAGCATGACAAGAATCCCCCATCCCCCACATCGTGATACACACCACCACACTCCCCAGGATCTCCTCATTTATGATGCCTCTTCCTGGAGATGCTCATCTAGATTTTTGCATAGCTTGTGCCTTCGCCTCCTTTAAATATTTTCTCAAATGATGCCTCCTCTGACCTATTTAAAACTGCAATCCCAGTCCCACTTCCTAACCCTTTCCCTGCTTTATTTTTATCTATTATGCCCTTTGCCATCCTTACATTTTGTAATTTTACTTGTTTTCTGGTACTTCCCTAGTCCATGAGATCAGGGATTTTTGTCTGTTTTGTTCATTATTGAATCCCTAGTATCTACAACAGTCCCTGGCACACAGTAGGCACTCAATAAATAAATGTTGAATGAATGACTCTCTACACTTTTGTTCATGCTACCCTCTTCACCTGAAATGCCTGCTATTTAAATCGTACTCATCTTTCAGAACCTGGTGTTTGGATTAGGAAAGGTAAAGAACAAGCACAGGGAAAGAAATAGAGCCCCAAGGTATATAATAACAAAGGAGCACAGCACATAGATGTTTTAAACCATATGAGTCTCTATGCCAGATAAAGTGTATTCCTTGGGGCTCAAAGATGTGTTTCAGAGCCAAGGCAAAGAAAATGTGAGCAAGTATGGAAAAGACTGGAGGTTGGATAATGTACTGATTTTTGAAAAGAAGGAAGAGGATTCTTCAATCTACAGATAATTAATATTCTAGAATAAGTTATTAAATAGAAAGTTTGTGAGCACTGAGGAAAAAATATGGTGATCCTTAGAAATCTAAAAGGATTTCAGTAAAAACTAGCCCAGTCAAACCACCATGATTTCCTTTCTTAGTAAGATTACTAAATCGGAAGGCTGCAGAACGGCTGTGAACATAGTATAGCTGGATTTTAGCAAAGACTAATAAAATCTCCCATGATTTCATTATAGATAAGATGGTATAATGTTGGCTACATCATTGTAGTGTTCAGTTTGTTCCCAACTGGCTGAAAAAACATTTTACAACTAATGATTAAAGGTTTGCTGTAAATCTGGAGGATTCATAAGAAGAGTTAGACTTTGGTTTTAAAGATTTCAACAATTTTAACAGTCACTTTGATGAAGTCAGGAAGCAGAGCTATCATATCTATTGAACAGAGGAGGCAGGAAGGGATGACAAGCGGAAAATAATGTCAAGATTCAAGATAATCTCATGGGATCATCATGGCTTTTTAATGGTTTTTAAATGATGTATAAACTAATAGGGTAAACTCAACAGATTTAGGCTGCTCTATCAGTATCAGGGATGAGAGAAGACCCAATTTAGGTGATTACAGGGTCAATATGCACAGTGGGATGCTGCCTCAACAGAAAGGCAATGCAAAATCTACACGTGCTTTAATTAGAAGCATTTCCGCTGTACCCTGCCCTGATCAGACCACATCTGAAGCAGTGTGCCTAGTGGAAGGTCACCCAGATGTTAAGAGGTCTTCCTGCAAAACCGATCTAAGAAAGAGATGAAGAAAACAATCATTTAAATTACAGAGAAATTTCTCAATTTCTCAAAATGCCAAATTAGATGCTCCAGGGAAGCGAGACGCTGTTAAGCACAGAGCCGGTCACCAGTGTGATCCGTTTCCCAGAGGCCGGCGCGTACACCAGGGCTCCAGAGCAGGTGAAGAGGGCCGGGCTTCTGGGCCGAAGCATATTCTGGAAAACCTGCCTACGAGTCCTGAGGGATCGCGCGCTCACAGACGCCTCGTGGGCCGCCTGGACGCAGGGAGGGGCCAAGCCCCTCCCGGCGCCCTCCGGCCTTCAGGGATCGGCGCTCTGGCGGGGACCCACCGCCCCGGGGATGCTCCGGGCCTGTCACCTTCAGACTCCCGGCGTCCGGCCCCGCCCCAGTCCCGCCTCTGCAGGGCATGGCTGCGCCCCCACCCCCCTAACTCGACCCGCGGGCTCCTGGGCCGCGCCAGCGCCGGCACCTTAACCGCGACCGCCCGCGGGCCTGCGGGCCGCTGGGCATGACTCGCGAGACCCGGCGCTCGCCCCGGGTCGCGGAGACGCCGCCTGGCGACCGATGGCGTCACGGGCACCGACGCCACAGCCGCCGCTCACCCCGCGCCGGCTCGGGCCGCTAGAGAGCTCGAGCCTCGCCGGTCCCGTGGCAGACTCGCCTCGGGGACCGCTTCATGGTCCCGCAAGATTTCTCAACTCTCCTGTTTAGCAGAGGCCTCCACATTTCCCCACTCTTCCGGAGCCCAGGTTCCCCCAGTGCCCCAGCCCCCTCGGAGGTCTCTCAACACCATTCCTTAACAAGCGCCCTCGTCCCTTCACCTGTAGAAGGCCACGTTGACCCTCTTTTCGCTAGGGAAGCCCAGCATCCCGCAGACCACGTGACTGTTATGGGCGCTCCATCCTTTGTCACACACTTGCGACCAGCCGTCTGGAAGCCTGACTTCAACCAGTCCCTCAGTCACGGGCAAGGGCCGCCTGCCCCGCTCAACGGCTGGTCGAAGTCGTACCTCCTCCACTTGCAGGTGATGCTCTACCTGGGGATGGGACCACAAGTAGAGGAAGGAATCCCAGTGACACATTTCATATGTCCGGCTACCCTCAAGGAACCCTGATTGAGTGTGCTTGCTGTAAACCCAATGGCGAGACAGGGCTGAGAGGCAGGCCTGCTCTCTAGGAGGTGTGTGGGTGTGTTGACTCTCCTGGGGTGTGTGGGTGTGTTGACTCTCCTGCAGCCATGAGTGTGCAAGGACATGCTATGCTCTGAGAAATGACTAAGGGTCCAGAAGAAGCTGGGGAAGGAGCATCTAACTCTGCCTGGAGCCTGAGGGAGCACTTCACAGAGGAAGTGGTATTGAAGGAGGAGGAGAAAGTAAGAAGGGAGATGTCCCAGGAGAGGAGGAACATCCGAGGTGAAGGAGAGCACAGTGCCCTGAGGACCAGGGATGAAGCTGGAGAGGCTCATGCCAGGCTTAGTAACTTGAATGCTAATGCTAAAACAAAGCTAGACTATACAGTGTCTCGGAGCCCTATCATTTTGTGCCCCCCCCAAGTCCCCCACCAACCCAAATTATCCCCTTGGGCATATAGGATCCTCTACCTTCTAGTATCTGCGCATATAACCACTCCACAGCCCTCTGTGTCTCTCCACCCTGGGTGGTGTGTGTGTGTGAGTGTGTGTGTGTGTCTATGAACTACAGACCTCAATGACATTGGAATCCGAGAAGCCGGGGAGGCGCTCGTCCTTGCAGATGACCCCGGCATCCTCATCGTGGGTACAGTCACTGTTCCCCCAGCCCCGGGAGGCACATTCAGTCACACTCTCCTCAGTCCCACTGCAGCTCAGGTTGTCCAGCCAGATGCGGCCTGTGGAGGGGCGGGAGATAAGGGGACAGAGGGGCTTGGAGAGGTAGTCTGGGGATGTTGGTGAGAATGAGCATGGAAGCCTCATACCTGGTAAGGTAATGAGTGGGGAAGGGACAGGGGACCCTGGAAAGGAATACGAAAGAGAGCATGGGATTGATGGAGGGTTGATAGTGATCTGGGGATACCCAAGAATTTGGTAGAGTGAATAAAAAAAACCAAGAGTCAACACTTAAGTTCTGATCAGTCCTTACCCATTCAATGACAGCTACAATTAATCAAGTACCTACTGTATGTGAGGCAATCTGCCAAGGTATGTACGTATGTGAGCATCCTTAGAACAGAGCTGCCACTTTGTTTAAAGAAACTGGAGCTCTGAGGAGTTAAGTAACTTGACTAAGACCACAGCCAATACATGGGGACTTAGGGATTTGAGCCATTTGTGAGATTTGGAAATGTAAAATCCTTTCACCTCAGCCTTACATTTTCCCATGTGCCCCCCATCTGCGTTGCCACGTTGCCCTGCGTTCTTCTCTCTGCCTGGACCAAACTGAAATGAATATCACCGACTTTCTCTCAGAATTGGGTGGCCCCAGCTAATGTGCAGGGACCCCTCATGCATATCCTGACAGGACTTACCCAGCTTCTGCTGGGATACCTACCTCCTGCCCGAGCAGGCTGTTGGAACCATCACAAAGTCCTTGAGACTCTTTAATGACTTCCCCCCCTCCAGGTCTGATTCAGTCCTTTGATGCCATCCAGAAAAATCCCTCAGCCATTTGAAGACAATCATCATGTAATTATTATCCAAAGCTTTTTCATTTCATACCAAATATCCCTGGTTTCTTCAGCTTTTCCTTGAAAATTGGCTTCCAATCTTTCACATCTGGCCAGCTCTCCTCTGAATATACTTCCATTTTTAGGATCTTAGTTCCCTGACCAGGGATTGAACCTGCACCCTTGGCAGTGAAAGCACGGAGTCCTAATCCTGGACCACCAGGGAATTCCCAGTACTTCCATTTTCTACTGTCTCTCTGGAAATGTGGCATCTAAATTGACACTTCATTCCAGAAGTGATCTAGCTAGTGGAAACTGGGGGATTAGCTGCAGACTGCACCAGTTTCTGTCTATCAATCTCACTGTGAGCTCATACAGTGTAAGCACCCCCAGGTCTCAGAATTGTTCCTAATCCCCTACTACCCACATTCATACTTGTCCTAGAGTTTATACTTGTCTTTGGTAAATTCCAGCTTCTTGGTTTCAGCTCTGGTCTATAATCTGATTTTGTTGGCTGCAGTATCTGTGATTCCTTCTGGCTTTGGGACATCCAGACATCATTTACCTGCTTTCAGCTTCCCATGAAACCAGTTGTACTTTAATCATACAGGGCTCACCTGTGTCAGCGCTGTCTTTGCACGTGGCTTTGTAGAATCATACTTTTGCAGCAGAAAGGAACTTAGAGTTCACCTAGTCATTTTGCACATGGGGCATCTGAGGCTCAGAGAAGGCACTGACCAGCCTAAGTTCACACAGCTCTGAGAACTGACTGCTGGTTGGTTTGTCCCCCATGGGTGTACTTGACACTGGCTTTTCCTGGTGTTCTGTGTCCCTATGGCTGTGCCATCCTGGTGTTCCCTCTCCCTACATTTAGGTTGCACTTTGGCAATACCTAGGCTGTGCCTGGAGCATTGCTCACCTGTTCCAGGGCCGTATTTGGCACTGTGGGTCCAGCCTGTGGCCTCTGTGAAGCCCAGCTCCCGGCATAGGACATGGGCAGCCTGCAGTGTGAAGTCGTCATCGCAGATGGTGCCCCATTCGCCAGCCCGCTGGATCTCCACGCGGCCCTCGAAGGGCTTCCTGGGGAAGCCGGCCAGCCGGAACCGTAGCCCCTGGCTCCCAGCCCTCTTCTCAGGGGCCGTGGATGGGGATGGAGATCCCAGGCACGAGCTGCACAGCAGGCACTGCAGCAGCCCCCACAGGCTCCACTGCCAGACACTGACAGGTCGCATGGCAAGGAAGGCCTGGGTGCCCCAGAGAGAATATGTGAGACAAGCTGAAATTGAGCCAGGCCCAGGTCTGAGAGAGAGGTCAAGAGAGGAAAAGAGACACTAGTTAAGACCAGAGACAGAGAGACAGTGCGAGAGAAAGAGAGGGACCCACGGACTAAGAGAGACAGTTAGAAAGGAACACATACTAAATAAGAGCAGAAACACAGAGTCAAAGAGGCACACAGACTGAGAGACCCAGATTGGGGGGCGGGGGAGGGAGAGAGAGAGGCTCTCCCTCCCTTTTGTGAAGAATAAAACTCTCACTATTAGTTGTTATGTCTCACAATGTCCTTTCCCTAGTTCTGCTATCATCACCTCCATACCCCGACTCGTGGGTCAAGGAGACCCAGTGATCAAAAGACAGAGATTAGAGACCAAGATCAGAGAATGGCCCAGATAAAGAGGAAGAGACTGAGCAAGAGACACGGAGAGGGTTACCCAGACAGAGAGAATGTGAGAGGAAGGGCAACTGTGGGAATGAAAGGGGACCAAACAGAGACAGTAGAGAGAGAGAGACAATGTTGAAGATGGATAGAGAGGGATCAGGAGAGAGCCTGGCACACAGAATTGGGGGGCAACTGAGAAAGTCAGGTAATAGGTGAGGAGGAGGGGAACTGACAAGAGCCAAGGAGCAGAGGCAGGAGGGACCCAGATGATCCTATTCAGCCCGTCAGACAGAGGACAGATAGCTACTGATTGTGGAGAGAGGCAGGCAAGGAGGGGCTTAGGAGACCCTCGGATCTCAGGTCCCCTGAATGGGAGCCAAGCCGAGAGTCCTCTCTGGGCAGATTCCAGGCATAGAAGGCAGAGAACCAGAATGCACTGGAGAACTCTTGCACATCCTACATGCCCTGCAGGGTCAAGGGGCCCAGGAGGGCCAGGCCTCAAGGTGGGGGGGGATGGGGTGGGGTTTTCCAAGCCTCCTGCCAACACCGCCATCTCTGTCACGGGCAAGCAGAGGCGAGAGCACCAATCGGCTTCTCCGCCAAGGCCTTCCCTCTGTCTGGGGCGGAGAACAACCCCTCTACAGCGAGCTCCCCCCCTCACCCCCCCTACATGCTTCCCCCAACTCAAACACCCAACAGGGCAGCTTTGTTTGGGAACATTTTGGCTTGGGGACCCAGGGAGAGGGCCTCACAGAGGAACCCCCAGCCTTAGGGCCCTCCCGGCTGCCCTATTTGGAACATCCTGCAGCCCCCACCCCGCAATATCTGCTTCATTTCTCCACTCTTCTTGTGTCTCACTCCTCTTTGACAATAATAAAACCCTCAGTAGCTTGACTTCCCTTTGACTTTATCCCACATCACCCCTTTTCCCAGGTCCCTCCACCATCCTCCATCCACAGCTCTCCTTCCTCTCACGGGCAGCGTGACTCCCCCTACCTGTGGCTGAGCGGGGACCGTAGCGGCCGGGAGAAGAGTCCTGGTCCTGGAGTTCAGTCCTAGGACTTACAAAAAAAGTGCTTGTCCAGGGGAGACTGCCCCCCCCTCCCCCACCTCTTTCGTTCCTCCCACGTCCCCTTGAGCCCTCCCACATCCCGCCTTCTCCCACGATCCCTCCCAGGCCAGTTCCCTCCTCTTGTCCTCCCCTCCTCTTTGGAGCAGGCCGCAGCCGCCGCTCCACCTCCATCCCGCCCCCCTCCCCGCCTCCCAGCATGCTTAATAAAACTTTCTTTTCTCGCGGGTTGGGTGTAGGGTAGCTGCGGCCAGAGAGCTGGACACAGAAGAGGCCACGGGGCCGCAGACCGTCCTGCGTCCCGTGCAGCGACTCGGCTCCGAGCTCCGGAAAGTCTTCAGTCCCTAGCCCTTCCCCCACGTCCCCTACTCCGCGGATCTTAAAACAGCCCAACTCCGGCCGAGCAGGGGTCGGGTCGGGTCTGGGGAATTGAAGCCGCGAGGGCACGTATGGTCCCTCCAATGCCCCAGGGTGCCCGTCGGCATTTTCGAGATGATGTCACGGCCTTCACTCTGACGTCACGTTGAGCATCTGACGTAGTACGCAGCCCCCAAGCCTAGGCGCCGGAGTCCTCTGACCGAAACCACGAGGTTTCCTTCGGTGGAGCCACTTGTGCGCGACCCAGGGTTGGGGGGGGGGGGGGG